TCCCAGCCCCCCTATAGGTGACCCGTTCGTAGCGGGCCATTGAATGGGCCCCACACCTCATTGAATATGGCTCCCCTCCCAGCCCCCCTATAGGTGACCCGTTCGTAGCGGGCCATTGAATGGGCCCCACACCTCATTGAATATGGCTCCCCTCCCAGCCACCCTATAGGTGACCCTTCGTAGCGGGCCATGGAATGGGCCCCACACCTCATTGAATATGGCTCCCCTCCCAGCCCCCCTATAGGTGACCCGTTCGTAGCGGGCCATGGAATGGGCCCCACACCTCATTGAATATGCCTCCCTCCCAGCCCCCCTATAGTTGACCCGTTCGTAGCAGGCCATGGAATGGGCCCCACACCTCATTGAATATGGCTCCCCTCCCAGCCCCCCTATAGGTGACCCGTTCGTAGCGGGCCATTGAATGGGCCCCACACCTCATTGAATATGGCTCCCCTCCCAGCCCCCCTATAGGTGACCCGTTTGTAGCGGGACACTGAATGGGCCCCACACCTCATTGAATATGGCTCCCCTCCCAGCCCCCCTATAGGTGACCCGTTCGTAGCGGGCCATTGAATGGGCCCCACACCTCATTGAATATGGCTCCCCTCCCAGCCCCCCTATAGGTGACCCGTTTGTAGCGGGACACTGAATGGGCCCCACACCTCATTGAATATGCCTCACCTCCCAGCCCCCCTATAGGTGACCCGTTCGTAGCGGGCCATGGAATGGGCCCCACACCTCATTGAATATGGCTCCCCTCCCAGCCCCCCTATAGGTGACCCGTTCGTAGCGGGCCATTGAATGGGCCCCACACCTCATTGAATATGGCTCCCCTCCCAGCCCCCCTATAGGTGACCCGTTTGTAGCGGGACACTGAATGGGCCCCACACCTCATTGAATATGGCTCCCCTCCCAGCCCCCCTATAGGTGACCCGTTCGTAGCGGGCCATTGAATGGGCCCCACACCTCATTGAATATGGCTCCCCTCCCAGCCCCCCTATAGGTGACCCGTTTGTAGCGGGACACTGAATGGGCCCCACACCTCATTGAATATGCCTCACCTCCCAGCCCCCCTATAGGTGACCCGTTCGTAGCGGGCCATGGAATGGGCCCCACACCTCATTGAATATGGCTCCCCTCCCAGCCCCCCTATAGGTGACCCTTCGTAGCGGGCCATTGAATGGGCCCCACACCTCATTGGATATGGCTCCCCTCCCAGCCCCCCTATAGGTGACCCGTTCGTAGCGGGCCATGGAATGGGCCCCACACCTCATTGAATATGGCTCCCCTCCCAGCCCCCCTATAGGTGACCCTTCGTAGCGGGCCATTGAATGGGCCCCACACCTCATTGAATATGCCTCACCTCCCAGCCCCCCTATAGGTGACCCGTTTGTAGCGGGCCATGGAATGGGCCCCACACCTCATTGAATATGGCTCCCCTCCCAGCCCCCCTATAGGTGACCCTTCGTAGCTGGCCATTGAATGGGCCCTACACCTCATTGAATATGCCTCCCCTCCCAGCCCCCCTATAGGTGATCCGTTAGACTTAGAACCTGTATCCACTCCTTAAATGTTGACTGAGTGGGATATTTCCAGAGGCGTAAAGTTATCCTGCAGCCTGTTGTCACAGTTGAACAGCACCAAGACTTCTGATGTTTTGACATTTTAATATTATCTGGATGTAATCCTGACAAACATAATGCAGGGTTTTTGACCAAAAGTCTGCCAAACACCTGATTCACAAACAAAATAATCGCATTCCACATGTCTTTAGTTTTGTCACTCATATAACATACGCACCAGAGTTCCAAACATTCCATTACATCTCTAACATAAGTCACTGTCGATGAGTTTTAGTCTTGCCAGTTTTGAAGAGGTCAAGTTAATATCTTATAATAAATTAGTTGAGACTCTGGTTCACGCGAATAACAGTGCCATGATGAACATCTAGATCCCTATCCCAACATGCCTCCAGCCCATCCAGTGCCATGATGAACATCTAGATCCCAACATGCATCAGCCCATCCAGTGCCATGATGAACATCTAGATCCCTATCCCAACATACCTTAAGCCCATCCAGTGCCATGATGAACATCTAGATCCCTATCCCAACATGCCTTCAGCCCATCCAGTGCCATGATGAACATCTAGATCCCAACATGCCTTCAGCCCATCCAGTTTAGGTGCCTGCATACTTCTAATGAGTTCGTAGAAATGTGAAGCTCCTCTGTTTTTCTCTCCAGTGTTATGGGACATTGCCAGGATTTCTGTCTGACTGTACTGAATGTGTTTGTCTGAAAGAATGCAATGCCTAATTTGTAAATATTGCTATAATTCTGAATTGGACAAATTACATTTCGTTTTAATTTTACCGAAGGATTTAAATCCCGCATGTCCGGTCACATCCTCAAGAATTTGAATTCCAGATCTAACCCACTTGTCCCAAAAGAAGCTTTTCTTACCTATTGACAGTTTCTCGTTATACCATATTGAGGATCAGCTTGATAAATACGGGTCATTTTTTGTTAATTGATGAGCAGTTTTCCAAGACTCTCTGGCAAAAGCCATTACTGGATCCTGAGAGGTGACTGGTCTATCCGTCTGAGAGAGGAAGGCCTCCAGAGAGAGAGGATGCACCAACTGTTCCTGTATCCTGACCCACAGCGGGGTCCTGGTAGGGGGCAGGTGAATTTAGATAGCTGCGATAAAGAAAAAGACAAGTGATACCAGTCTATTCGTGAGAGTGCTAAACCCCCCTTATCGTTTGCAGCGTATAATTTAGTCCGATTAAATATGGGTTTCTTGTTGCCCATATAAACTTCTCTATCATTCTGTTGTACATTTTAAATAGTGAAGAAGGAAATGTTAGTGGTAACATGGATGTGATGTAATTGATCATGGGAGTTAAAATCATTTTAACAAATTTAATTTTGCCCAGCAGGGAGATATGCAACTTATCCCAATTTTGTAACAGAGTTTGAGTTTTCTGAGGAGTGGAGATATATTAGCTTCCATTAGTTTTTCCAGGCCAGGCGTTAATTTGATACCCAGATATGTTCATCCTTCAGGCATCCATCTGAATTTCCAGCTCTTTCTAATATCTGGGGGGCATCATTTTTGATAGCGGCATGGCTTCTGATTTTGACCAGCTAACGGTATAACCAGATATCTCTGAGAACCAATTTATCTCTGAGCAAATTTCTGGGGCTGAGGATTCAGGATTACTCGATATCAATAACACATCATCAGCATACAGCAGGAGCTGGTTTTCTTCTTGACCCGCCTGCAAACCCTGTATATTTGAATTAGTCCGTAAGGCTAAAGCCAGTGGTTCAAGAAATATAGCAAAGATTAGAGGTGAGCCTTGTCGAAGCCTTACGATTTAAAGTGTTTTAAGGTGAAATAATCCCATTAGTTAAGACTGTGGCTGATGGATCAGAGTACATTCATTCTACCCTCTCCTTAATATGGGGCCAAATCCAAAGTTCTCTAGTGTGTAAAACAAAAAGGGGAACTCCACTTTATTTAACGCATCCAGAGAAAAGGCAACTGTTGGTGTGTCATAATTTCTTGTCATCCACATAATGTGTAATAGTCTTTGAAGGTTGTCTGCCGTGCTCCTGCCCTGATCCTGGTGAATGAGAAATGGGACAACCTTTTCCAATCTAGTTGCTAAGATGTTGGCAAGAATTTTCTCATCAACATTATTCAAGGATATAGGGCAATGATTCCCACAATGATGTGGACCTCAACCCTTTTTATGGAGAAGTGTAATAACTGCTTCCCTCATAGTTTTAGGTGACCTACCTCTATGAAATGCATCTTGATATACAACTAGCAATGTCGGGGAAATATCGTCTATGAATTTCTGATAAAAGTCTGCTGAGAAGCCATCGTTTCCAGAGGCCTTTCCTAACCTAAGGGTCGGGGCCGACCCGGTGAATCCTATCAGCTTCATACCAGTCGTCTACATTAATATCCAATGCCTCCGATAGCAGCGTTTTCATAAAGCCATCCCAGTCGCGGCCCTCCATCCCTTCTTTCACCCCTGGAATGCGTATGTTTTGCCGCCAGGAGAAACCTTCCAGCACTGTTATCTTATCTGGATGTTATTCTGTCTCTCTAGGTCGTGCACGATCGGGACCCTTTTATGCCTCCTCCTTCTCCAACTTTGATATTCTGGACTCCGCCTTGGTAATTCGGATGCCCAGGCATTCGCCGCCTCCACTCCTCTTTTAACACCAGAGACTTCATGAGCTAGGGTCTCCAGGATAGTCTTGATACCCTGCAGTTCAGTCACCCTGTTTTTGGCAACTTGTGGGGATGAGTCCGCCATCCTTGGTGAGTCCGCTGTTTCCTCTGTGTTTTTATTACGTTGATTTTGAGATGCGTTGCGGGTAAAATAATGGCAAGTTACTCTAGGGTTGTTGTTTCGGTACCAGTATACATATGGTTGCAAATTGTATTTATGAATCAATTGGGAAAATAGCTAAGTCGGCTCGGCCACTCTTCCTAAGCAGCCATCTTAGGCGCGTCACCACCGGAAGTCCTGTTTTTTAATCACTGCGGTGATATTAGGTAGCATCAGTCTTAGCTGGAACACCATCCTGCAGGGAGGCATGAGCTAACTCTTTCCTTTAATGCACATAGCTGCTGGTGGAGCTTTTACTGATCTGACCCGCTGCCTCATTCCATGTTCCTCTCCTAGATGAAGCCCCTACAGGAGTTACAAATGCATTTTCTCTCACATCAAGCTTTTCATCTCTCATCCAGGAGGAGAAAGTTCTCCAAGTTTATGATTTGTTTCAATCTGGCATAAGATCTGCTACATTCTGCAGGATCCGAGCTATTCCATGGAGAACAGACCCTTAATTATCCACCCACCCAACCCCCAGATACAGACACATCAATAGTGGCAAATCTGTGTGTGAAAATGGGCTGTTAAAACAGTCTGACATCACAGATAATAGAGACAAGCATCAGTTTGATTAGTACTTACAGGATGAGCAGGTTGAGCATTTGCCTGCAAAGGACAGAAGATGAGTCGTATCAGCATCCAAACTCTTATCTGTTCAGTTTAAGACTTTATTATGTTTTTAATGCACAGCTTACAAACATTCTAGAAGGAAAAGTTTGTGGATGAGGTTATTTCAGGACAAATGCACCATGGTTACCTCCTGTCTGCTGAATCCTTCATCATGTAAACATCTACAGCTGAAAGTGGAGGAAAACTGAGGTCCTGGTTTAGACCAGACCAGAATCCCAACCAGGGAATGAAAACAACACCCAAGTTCTTCTAGACAGTCTGGTGCATTTGTTCCATCCAACTGGTTCCAGTTCCTAACTGGTGCTTAGACAGGCTCAGCACCTGTTCCTTGTGGCTTTGCTGAGGATATTCACTTTCTTCTAGTTGTTTATCTCCAATGCAGATTCAGAGAGAGAACCAGTTATTAACTACAGTACTGTAGTTAGGGTTCTACAAAAGAAGCCTAACCTGGGAACCATGTCACAGTTACAGTTTGATCCATTCTGTTTGCTCTGCTTCTGTGAATAATCAGTTTACAGGTTTAATTAGAGCATTTTCCCTGCAGGAAGCACTTTTTAGGTATCTATACTTTACTCCATTACTTATTTTCATTCTTACTTCTGACTTCTACTCATTTTCACACCAGTATCTGTACTTTATATTCCTTATATTTTTAAATCAAACGTTCCTCGTTCCTCTTGGCTTCGGTTTAATGTTTCTAAATATTCATTTCCCGTCATGTGCTCCATCCAATGCAGATCATTGGCTCCGCCCACATCTAGTGAAAACTAGTGTGATTGGATGAGTCATAGAAGGCAAACACTCATTGGTTAGCTAAAGGAAACCATCTGAAGCTAGCAGGTGTTCTTCAAACTGCTAACGTGAATTGTCTATGCCATGCTACAATGTGGGATTCAGAAAAACATGTCTGAAAGGTCGGACACAGGCGAGAGCGTATCGGGAGACGGAGACCAACCAGACCTCCCTCATCCTTGGCCCTATCTCAGAGAATTTATAGAAATTTAGCTTTCAGCTCATATAGCGGCATCTGGCTGTTTTTTTAAAGGTTCCTCCATGCTTTGTTCCATCCAGCTTGGTGGAAAGGCCTCTGAACCTGGTACCCTCCTCTCTCTGAGCCTCCATGCTTTCACTGCTACAGATATCCTGTTCCATGCAGCCTTTTGTCTGCCCTGTCTGTCAATCATCACCACTGCAAACAAGAAGGGGCTCAGAGCTACACTCTGATAGAAGACCATGCCTCAGTCTGCCTTCACCTCTGACTGCCTGCTGCAGTACCACGGTTCCTCTCTAGATGAACACTCAGAACCTTTTTCTGACCTTCTTGGTTCATCTCAACAAGATTTATAAGAACTAAAACATAAAGCATTTCATACATGAGTGTTTAATGAGAAGAGTTTGGGAGCTACTACTCACCGACCACATGTCCCAGGGTACAGCCGTCTACAACAAACAGAATGTCTTGTTATAGCTCATATTTCAGGTCAGAAATATAATAAAGTGCTTTCAATCATGTTTAAGTTACCTTCTATTTCAACAGTGTAAACTACAGTTCAACAACAAGACCCATGATATTATCATTTTAATAATAAGCAGCTTTACATTATGAGTTCTAGTTTAAGAGCTATAACATCTAGAATAGCCACCAGAGGGCAGGATTGCCTCGTGTCAGATTGTCAGAAAGTACAGTTTCTGCCTAGTTACACAATCACTCTTCTCCTGAAGTGCATCCAAATGGAGGTTCTAGACCGTCTGGGTCCTGGTAAACCAAAACCTTCAAATCTCCATGTTTGGTCTGGAAGTGGACCAAATCAGATCCAGACCAGTGAGCACAGCACAGATGGTTGGTTCCCTTCCTCTAACTGTTCTTTGTCTTTCAGGTGTCAAAGTGTGTTGTGATGGTATGAGCACCTGAGGTATCGGTGCAACAGTTTCATCTGGCTGAAAAGCATCAAAGTCCAAATCTAGAAGAGACTCTCCGGGTCGTTCGTTTGGCTGTGGAGGAAGAAAAAAAAACAAAATGGGTTAAACTGGAGAAATGGCTCCCATGAGCAGGGTTTTATTTCCCTTAATACCTGAGATGGTGACGGTGCAGGTAGAAATTCTCCACCAAACAGGTCAATTATTTGCTCTTCTGCCACTTCTTTAGTGGGGGTGGCTTTAGGAAGTGGAGGAACAGGTGGACCCTTTTTAAGCTGCCAAAGAAAAGCAGCACAGCTTCAGGTGAGCTCAGGTTTCATCAGACAGAAAGAAAAGATTTCTATATGAACATGGTTATAATTAGAACACAAACACAGAACTGCTCTTCAGCAATAGAAAGAAATAGAATTTACAAAATAGTTTGGATTTTAAATAAAACAAATTCTAATGCTTGATTTGTAAAATATTCTTAAAGATTTTCTGTTCTTTTCACAGAGTTCAAGTTAAGCAGGGAGAAGGAACAACAAACATATGCTGCTGAAAATAATAAAACTATTGACTCCAAACACATTTAACAATAACACGTCACATATCTGGGGACAGACACCATTTCACAAATTATAGGCCTGTTTCTGTACTTCCACACTTTTCCTAAATTTGGGAGAAATTATTTGTGGATAGATTTGATACCTTCATTAATAAAAATAAACTGCTTTCCAAAAGTCAGTATGGATTTAGATCACAAAGATCTACAGCAATGGCCGTCATGGAATTGATGGAAAAAAATCACCAGCCCCTTAAATAATAAGAAACTTTCAGTTGGTTTATTTCATTATCTCAAAAAAGCTTTTGACAAAAATAAATCTCAAAATATTAAGAAATTGGGGAATCATGGCATCTGGGGAGTATTACTACTCTGGATGAAACGTTATCTAAGCAACAGACAACAATTGGTGTAAATGGGTGACTGCCAGTCATGTTGCTTGGATATTGTTTGTGGTTTCCCCTAGAGGTCAGTATGGGGGGCAAGATCATTTATCCTGTATATTACTGACATCTGCAAAGTTTCTAAAATACGTATATATATATATATATATATATATATATAGAGAGAGAGAGAGAGAGAGAGAGAGAGAGAGAGAGAGAGAGAGATTGCGTGTGTCTGTGTGTGAATATTGAATAAGAGACTGAAGTTTAACAGGGAGGTTACTTTACTTTAAGTTACTTTAAGTTCAATTATTGTTACTTCATAACAATTTTCAGACAATCTACATTAATCCATGTCAGTTCCCTGGCTGGATGTACTGAAAGGTTTATTTAGTGGAAAGTTTTGTTTCCATTTTTACTCAAATCAATTTCGTTTTTTTAGAAATTGGAGTTTAGCTTGATGTTAACCAGTCTCTTTTTGTGTGTATTTGGATGTTTTTATTTTGTTTGTTTGTTTAAAATATTTTTTTAAGTTGATTTATTTATTGCTGATTGTCAGTTTCTGAAATAAATTCCTTTTCATTCATTCAACTGATTCCGATGTTTAGTTGGTAGAAATCAAAGCTGATGGTTTACAACCTGCTTCACATTAAAAAATAAAGAACAACGCAGCTGATTCCATTGTTCCTTATGTTCCTAACAGAGCACTTCGCTCTCAATCTGCAGGTTTTCTAGTGGTTCCTAGAATTTCTAAAAGTAGAATGGGAGGCAGATCTTTTAGTTCTCAGGCTCCTCTCCTGTGGAACCAACTACCAGTTTTAGTCCGTGAGGCAGACACCCTGTCTACTTTTAAGGCTAGGCTTAAAACTTTCCTTTTTGATAAAGCTTCTAGTTAGAGTGGCTCAGGTTATCCTGATCTATCTCTATAGTTCTGCTGCTATAGGCTTAGACTGCTGGAGGACATAGGGACCCCTTTTTCATCATTCTGCTTCATTCTATCTCTATTCTATAATTAGGAGATTTTGAATTTAAATTAGAATTACTGAACAAAAACCAAAAGCGTAATACATTTTTACAGATATCTATTTAGTTTAGTTATTGTTGAGATTAATACTATCTAAACCTTTTTGTATACACTGTTAACAATGGCTAACAAAAAGGCAGTCTCATATGACAGCCACTTGAGGTCAGCTTGCCACATGTGCTCAAAAGAGGAACAGCACAAAGCATCGAAAACCAAACGCAGATCCTGACCTACGTGCATCGCAAAAAGAGACGACACAATGGCCCCCCACTGGATGGCCATCAACAGTTGAATGAGACTGCTGGCACTTACATTTTAAGGGTCGAAGGACAATGACCCTTGTCAAGTAAAGCATGGAGACCCTTCAGAACAGCAGGCACTGGGCAGGAAACTGGTCCTCATTGCAGGCAAAGAACCACTAAGCAAATAGACGCCATCTATTGTTGTGTTGCTCTTGAGAGGATGGTACCCTAGCACTAAATATGAAGCACCTGACAGCCACTTAGTGGTCACACCCACAGATGGAAATGTTAGGGTTGGGGTGCCATACCCGCCTCCCAACTGAGACAGCAGATCCCTCCTGGCTGAAGGACGACATGGGAGAGAGTTGGGGACCTCATTGGGCACCCCGGGTACCCCAGCCTGTGCGACTGGCATCTATGGTAACTATCTCACTGCAGATCAACATTGTTACCCTAGGGATGCCCTTGGACAGGTAAGTCCTGCTTCGCCAGCGGGCCAGGGCATGAAGGCACGTCCATGTCACTTTGAGCCAGCGATACCCGAACAGGATGGGGTCCAGACAAAAGCTGTTGAGCCACCTTTGAAAAGTGTGCAGACAGAGAAAACCAATGGCCCAAGACACCAAGATGAGTGATAGAAGTCACTTTGCCTTGTACCTGCAGGAAAGTGACGTTAGGTGTGCCTAACATCTCCAAAGGAGATGAAGCTGCTTCCATGCACAGAGTAAACTCCCTTAAAGAGAGAAGCTGAGTGGGAGCACCTGGAATGTTGATCATGAAAGGCAAACCTGAGAAAACTCTGTCACAATAGTCATGAACGTAAGATCCGTCAGATCCACTGACCTAAACCAGAGTGGCTGCTTGCTAGTCTGACAAGCCTGAACAGTTCGTTCAAATTCCTCCCGAGCAGCACAACTGGGACACCTGCGAGGGGCCTCATTGGGCGACAAAATTAATAAGGGAGGTTCAACTGCTGCCATACAGTCCATGGATGACTCATGCATGGAAGCCAGCAACTGGCCTTCACCAGGTAGAGAAAACAAAAAAACAAGGCAGCTGGACACCGTAAGCTCCAGCAGACCACATGATCAGTTGAACTGGAGAGTTGAACTTTAGCCGTGACCAAACCTTGACAACAGAGTTGGACAAGCTGGGTAGGAGCAATAACTCCGCCGCACCTGTTGAGAATAACAGCAACTAAGCTGCAATCATTTCAGAAACATTGTAAGAAGAAGTTGGGAAAGGGGAAGTGAACGCTGCCATCACTAACAAACAGCATACATAGCTGGCAAGTCCCGTAAGAAGGTCAACCTGTTGCAGCCTAGGGGTGCGAAATTACCACAGTTGCAGCCAGTGGGTGACAGGGCTTCCAGAAACACGGAGCCGAGGAAGGTATGGTCCAAACAACTTCAAATCAAATGCCAAACGAGGTGAAGCACACATGAGAACAAGCAAAGAACAGAGCCCTGCATGCCGCCAGCATATCCAGCTTCTGAGTGGTCACCCAAGGTGTCACTCTGTTGGTATAATTACTCAAACTGTGCATGCGCAAAGGCATCATTCAGCGCTTTCAGCACCGCCCCTTTCAGTAGGGATGAACTAGAACAGGCTGTGTATAGGGAAGATAACTTCCATCCTGAATATGGTTCATCTGTTCATCAGCGTATAGTTTCTCTGAGCACAGCTCACATTTCTATCAAATTATCCCTTAATGATGGGTTATAAAATGATTTTGGGCCTTGGGTCTAACTAACAATTATTTCACAATTCAATTAATCGATAAATAACCCGAAATTGATTGCAAAATTGATTGATAAACTTATTGATCTGACAGTGGATATATATGGATCCACTGGATATATATATATATATATATATATATATATATATATATATATATATATATATATATATATATATATATATATATATATACATATACATATACATATACATATACATATACATATACATATATATATATATATATATATATATATATTTTTTTTTTTTTTTTATTTTTTTTGTATATATATAGACCAGGTGAAACTAAAACTTTTCCACTTCTTGAGTTCTGGATAGAGGATATTAACAGATGGAAAAGTTTTTTGTCTTAAATACAACATCTTTACATATTTTTATAAAATCTTGGTATAATTCCTGCTGTAAGTGGGTCGCTCTGTCCACTCAGTGCATGTTTTAGAGTCCCTACTCTCCATTTAATGATTAATAATTAATTAATTTACTAAATTAGTTGATGAATTGACTGGTGGCAATTTAGTTTTAAATTAATTGTTCCAGCCCTACTTGGAGCTGTAAAAAAGATGAATCTCTAGAGCTCTGTGGACATCAGCTGCTTTCTGATGCTTGTTCACAATCAGTAACTTGTATGTAAATATCTTTCTTCACACTATTATATGTTTTTTATTATTATATTATATATAATATTACCTGACTCCTCAACCATTTCATTACCGTTTCCTCTTTGCATATATGGCTGCCTAACAGATCAGTCTGTGGAGCCATTCCCCTTTCATTCTGGCTGACAATAAACCGTATTCACATATAGCTGGAAGATGTGCATGAAACTTTTGTTGGGATCTGATGCATCTTGAGGACTAACCTCCAGCTTATCAGGCAGAAACTGTACTGCAGCTTTAAATGTGATGAGGAAAGGAAGTGCTTTATCTGAGGAATCAAACATCTTTCCTCAGTGTCAAACCACCGATTATTTTCTCTAACTCGTCTTTAGAAAATTAACTTATTTCATTGTCTAAATGATAAATTTAGACAATAATAAAGAAAACTGCATGTTGTCTGAGGAAAGTGTCTAATTTCACTTGCTCCTCTTCTCCTGTTAATACGGTAAAGCCCTGGGGAGCGTCCGGCTCCAGGCTGCACGTGATCCAAATGAGCCAATGAGCTGTCAGTCTGGGTTGCTGCTGCTGCTACTTTTAGACACAGCAGGCAAACCTGTGGCAAGCCGGGCGATGGGAAAGAAGGAGAAGACCATGAGAAAAAGAGAGCAGAGAAAGTGTGGACTGCTGGAAGAACTGCGGTGAACTGGTGAAAGAAAAGTGAAATGGCGTGCTCAAAGATGACCCTGCACATTTAGAGGATGTTTGGCTCAACCTGCTGCTGTGAAGCAGGATTCTCCACCATGAACAGAATCAACAATAAATCTGGATCCAGGCTCAAAATGAGCTCCTTGATATGTGCTTGAGAATGGCTTAGTCTCCGGTTAAACCCAGGTTTAAAGCCTTGCAGGGCAGCCTAAAGCCCACTGCCAACATTAAGACAGAAAGAAGAAAGAAAAGAAACCAGGAAATTATCCATAAACCAAACTGACCGATTGTTGTTCTCTACTTCAATTTTTTTTTTATGTATAACATGGATACATGAATATCTGCTTTTTATTTCAGTGTTAAATTCTGTTTAAAGAAACAGATGATTAAAATGTCTGCGGACTTTTACTGGTTGATGATTTTCTTTATTCGCTGATTTTTAATTGGTGACCCCATCTAGAAGATTTAATCAAAACAACATTCACATGCACAACAAACCAGACTAAAACACAGACAGACTACACAGAATGTGAGTGAACTCACCGAGTGACAGACAACAGTCAGCAGAGAAGAAAAAACAGTCGGAGAGTTCAGAGCAAACAGCCAGTAATCATCTTCATCAATCAGTCTGTCATTTATCAGTAAACACTAAATATTCTGGAACACCTGTGGAACCATGACCTGTCTTTGTCAGGCAGCTGTGGCCAGGATCTACATTCAACAGCTAATCGTTAGCCTCCAGCTAACTGAGGAGAAACCCAGGGGGGGATGGGTTCCTAATCTGTTCCAAACAGATCTAGGTAGTAATGACCTGACAGCTTTCCCCATCACTGAGGAACCAAAGGACTGCTTTTATAAAATAAAACCCTACACTTTCTCTTGGAAGCGTGGTTCCAGTTTTTCCATTAGTTCCCTTTCTGTCATTCCAGTTTTTCCATTAGTTCCCTTTCTGTCATTCCAGTTTTTCCATTAGTTCCCTTTCTGTCATTCCAGTTTTTCCATTAGTTCCCTTTCTGTCATTCCAGTTTTTCCATTAGTTCCCTTTCTGTCATTCCAGTTTTTCCATTAGTTCCCTTCCTGTCATTCCAGTGTTTCCATGGCATGGACCCCCCCGTCCTCACCTGGAATCACGTTACCTGGATTGGAGATTTGGGTCGAGGCGGTCCGGGGGAAACTGGGCGAAGCATGTGGTTGGAGCTGGCTTCTGGACTCTCTGGTGGACTCTCATCGTCTGGTGGTGATGGTGTTCTGGCGAGGCGCAGGGGTCCAGAATCACTGGGCAGAAAATAGGAGGCTCTGATTGGCTGAACAGAAACTGCTGCTTCTTACTTTTCCACCTAAGTTATTCAAATTAAAACTGTCACACACAAATCAGATACTTCCTTATAGGAAGGAAGGAAGGAAGGAAGGAAGGAAGGAAGGAAGGAAGGAAGGAAGGAAGGAAGGAAGGAAGGAAGGAAGGAAGGAAGGAAGGAAGGAAGGAAGGAAGGAAGGAAGGAAGGAAGGAAGGAAGGAAGGAAGGAAGGAAGGAAGGAAGGAAGGAAACTCGGGTTAAACTTTGATGATGTAATTTGACTCATATTAAAGTACCTTGAACAATGTTTTGGATTAAACTGATAACTTTTAAAACATAATGTTAGAAATGCTTAATCTTCTGGCCAAATTAAAGTTCAAGTTTTATTCTACAGAAAACCAGCTGATTGAAACAATTCTGCTCCTCCTGGATGAGCAGGTAGAGACAGTAGATATTAGATTACATTCAGCGACATAGATCCCATGGCTACCTCAGACCTCGCCTCACCTTTAGAGGGAATACCTCCTTAAATAACCTGGTTACATGTAACCTGGTTAAAGGGAATACCTCCTTAAATAACCTGGTTAAAGGGAATACCTCCTTAAATAACCTGGTTAAAGGGAATACCTCCTTAAATAACCTGGTTGGAACTGGATCTAACATCCAAGTTGAAGGCTTAGATGAAGACAATAATTTTGCTAATTCAGAAAGTTCAACTGGATCAAAGCAGTCTAAACCCGGTTCAGATTCCATGACTACCTCAGGTACAATCGCGGATAGAGGAGTGCTTATGATGTTATTTTTAATAAGATCAATCTTATTTATAAAGAATCCCATAAAATCATTGCTGCTAAGAGCAGGTGGAATGGACAGGTTCAACAGAGCTATGGCTCTGGGTGAGTTTGGCAACTGTATTAAAAAGAAATCTAGGATTATTCTCATTCTCCTCTATTAATGAGGAGAAGTATGCTGCTCTTGCTTTACAAAGGGCTCCTCTTATACAGCAGTAAACCATTTTTCCAGACTAGGAAGGACTCCCGCAGGCCTGTGGAGCGATATTTTCTCTCCAGTTTCCTAGCATTTTGCTTCAAAGTACGCAGCTCTGCATTAAACCAAGGAGCCAGCTTTCTATTTTTAACGGTTTTCATTTTCAAAGGAGCTGCGTTGTCTAAGGCAATACGCAGAGAACTAGCAACCCCATCAACAAAATCATCAACCTGTGAAGGGGAATAAGCTATGCTTTAGCACTCTGCAGCACTGCTCAGCGACACAGAGGAGAAAGAAAGTGAAGCAGATTCTTTAAAATGTATAACTGCTCTATCTGATAAAGATCTACTAAAATGTAACCTTCTTTTGGAGGATGTGAAAATTTAAATAGCTTGAAGGAGTTGCCTCATTTATGCTCACATAATCCTCTTGCTGCAGCCAGGTTTCTGTAAGGCAACATCAGTCAATGAGAAATATGCTGCTCTTGCTTTACAAAGGCTCCCCTTAACAGCAGTAAACTATTTTTCCAGACTAGGAAGGATTCCCGTGAAGCGCCATTTTCTCCTTATCTTTTCTATTTTCATTAAAAGCATGTTTATACAGACGTGTGAGCAAATATTTGCAGGTTTGTGTAACAGAGCAGAGTGAGACTCACCTCGGGGCTCCTTGAATGGTGAACACTTTGTCTGCGTGTTGTTCTCTTAGTTTGGTCATAACTTCGTAGAGCTCCCTGCACACCTGGAAGGAGAAAAGAGATCCTTTCAGCTCTGATCATCTCCCTGCAAGGCCAGGAACAACAAATTCACTCACCATGGAGATTTCCCGATGAAACTTTGCCTCCAGGCTTGTTACACACTTAAAGGTGCTGATGTAGAAACCCACCCGTCTGCAGAGAAGGAAAAGGAACCATAGACTTAAACTGAGTAGATTGCACGATTCCCTTCACTTAAAGGAGAAGTTCGGTTTTTTACACTTTAAGCCCATTTTCTGTAGTGTCCAGGATGAAATCGAATGATCGACACCAAAAGTTTGACAATTGCTCCTGTCTCTGCTTTTTGGCTCATTTAGAATCCCCCCCTGGCTGCTTTAGAATGGCTAGCATAGAGCATGTCCGATAATGTCCTTAAAACAACCTTAAACGTTCTTTTTTTAAAATATGCTACTCACCGGGTCGTCAGCGCTGTTCAGTGACGTTCCAAAAAAAGTTTTGTGAAGAAAAAACGTTCCTGTAGTGTTTTATTTAGCATTTTGTAAATCCCATAGAGTTCTGTTGGAATAGTCAATATTCCCCTGCCACCGGAAACGGAAATGGGGCCTGTTTACACAGTTGTAGTCTTTTCGCTTCACTCTGTGTACTCCGACGTCGAGAATCAAGAATCCACCTTTCGTATTCCATTTTCAGAGTTTTTTAAAGTGTTTAACAGAGACGTTAGCACCTCGACGTCGGAGTACACAGAGTGAAGCGAAAAGACTACAACTGTGTAAACAGGCCCCATTTCCGTTTCCGGTGGCAGCGGAATATTGACTTTCCGCTTCTTTTTTTTATGTAAATTTGTTTACTGAAATGATCATTTGTTTTGGAACTTGTAAAAGTTTTGTAATGTTGCTTTGCACCTCCCGGCCACCTTACTATAAATAAACTGAACTGAACTGAATCTCAGGTCACTTTCCAGTTCACCAGATCATCCAGTCAGATTGATTCAAAGTTTTCTATCTAAGGAAAACCAGCTGATTGCATCGACTCATTGACTCTTCAGCAATCCCTCACACTAAGCATGCTTGTAGCTACTTGTAGATTTTCTACATATTACCCAGTCCTACCCAACACCCTATCACCCTGTCACCGTGTAACCCCTGATACCCTGTCATCCTGTCACCCTTACACCCTGTAATCCCTGACACCCTGTAACCCCTGACACCCTGTCATCCTTACACCCTGTAACCCCTGACACCCTGTAGCCCTGTCACCCTTACACCCTGTAATCCCTGACACCCTGTAGCCCTGTCACCCTTAAACCCTGTAACCCCTGACACCCTGTAGACCTGTCACCCTGACAACTTGTAATCCCTGTCACCGTTACACACTGTAATCCCTGACACCCTGTAGCCCTGTCACCCTTACACCCTGTAACCCCTGACACCCTGTAGCCCTGTCACCCTTACACACTGTAATCCCTGACACCCTGTAGCCCTGTCACCCTTACACCCTGTAATCCCTGACACCCTGTAACCCCTGACACCCTGTCATCCTGTCACCCTTACACCCTGAAACCCCTGACACCCTGTAGCCCTGTCACCCTTACACACTGTAATCCCTGACACCCTGTAGCCCTGTCACCCTGACACCCTGTAACCCCTGACACCCTGTCATCCTGTCACCCTTAAACCCTGTAATCCCTGACACCCTGTAGCCCTGTCACCCTTACACCCTGTAATCCCTGACACCCTGTAGCCCTGTCACCCTTACACCCTGTAATCCCTGACACCCTGTAGCCCTGTCACCCTTACACCCTGTAATCCCTGACACCCTGTCACACTGTAGACCTGTCACCCTGACAACTTGTAATCCCTGACACCCTGTCATCCTGTCACCCTTACACCCTGTAATCCCTGACACCCTGTAGCCCTGTCACCCTTACACCCTGTAATCCCTGACACCCTGTAGCCCTGTCACCCTTACACCCTGTAATCCCTGACACCCTGTCACACTGTAGACCTGTCACCCTTACACACTGTAATCCCTGACACCCTGTAGCCCTGTCACCCTTACACCCTGTAATACCTGACACCCTGTAGCCCTGTCACCCTTACACACTGTAATCCCTGACACCCTGTAGCCCTGTCACCCTTACACACTGTAATCCCTGACACCCTGTAGCCCTGTCACCCTTACACCCTGTAATCCCTGACACCCTGTAACCCCTTACACCCTGTAACCCCTTACAGACTGTAATCACTGAAACCCTGTAGCCCTGTAACCCCTTACATCCTGTAATCCCTGACACCCTGTAATCCCTGACACCCTGTAGCCCTGTCACCCTTACACCCTGTAATCCCTGACAGCGTGTAATCCCTGACACCCTGTAATCCCTTACACCCTGTAGCCCTGTCACCCTTACACCCTGTAATCCCTGACACCCTGTAGCCCTGTAATCACTGACACCCTGTAGCCCTGTCACCCTTACACCCTGTAACCCCTGACACCCTGTCACCCTTACACCCTGTAACCCCTGACACCCTGTAACCCCTGACACCCTGTCACCCTTATACACTGTAATCCCTGACACCCTGTAGCCCTGTCACCCTTACACACTGTAATTCCTGACACCCTGTAGCCCTGTCACCCTTACACCCTGTAACCCCTGACACCCTGTAGCCCTGTCACCCTTACACACTGTAATCCCTGACACCCTGTAGCCCTGTCACCCTTACACCCTGTAACCCCTGACACCCTGTCACCCTTACACCCTGTAATCCCTGACACCCTGTAGCCCTGTCACCCTTACACCCTGTAATCCCTGACACCCTGTAACCCCTTACACCCTGTAACCCCTTACAGACTGTAATCACTGAAACCCTGTAGCCCTGTAACCCCTGACACCCTGTAATCCCTGACACCCTGTAATCCCTGTAACCCCTGACACCCTGTCATCCTGTCACCCTTACACCCTGTAATCCCTGACACCCTGTAATCCCTTACACCCTGTAGCCCTGTCACCCTTACACCCTGTAATCCCTGACACCCTTACACACTGTAATCCCTGACACCCTGTAGCCCTGTCACCCTTACACCCTGTAACCCCTGACACCCTGTAACCCTTACACCCTGTAACCCCTGACACCCTGTAATCCCTGACACCCTGTAGCCCTGTCACCCTTACACCCTGTAACCCCTGACACCCTGTAACCCCTGACACCCTGTCACCCTTACACCCTGTAACCCCTGACACCCTGTAGCCCTGTCACCCTTACACCCTGTAATCCCTGACACCCTGTAGCCCTGTCACCCTTACACACTGTAATCCCTGACACCCTGTCACACTGTAGACCTGTCACCCTGACAACTTGTAACCCCTGACACCCTATCACCCTGTAACCCCTGACACCTGTCACCCTGTAGCCCTGTCACCCTTACACCCTGTAATCCCTGACACCCTGTCACACTGTGACCCCTCACACCCCATCACCCTGTAGCCCTGTCACCCTTACACCCTGTTATCCCTGACACCCTGTAACCCTGTGACCCCTCACACTCCATTACCCTGTAATCCCTGACACCCTGTAACCCCTCACACCCCATCACCCTGTAGCCCTGTCACCTTTACACCCTGTAATCCGTGACACCCTGTCACACTGTGACCCCTCACACCCCATCACCCTGTAGCCCTGTCACCCTTACACCCTGTTATCCCTGACACCCTGTAACCCTGTGACCCCTCACACTCCATTACCCTGTAATCCCTGACACCCTGTAACCCTGTAACCCCTCACACCCCATCACCCTGTAGCCCTGTCACCTTTACACCCTGTAATCCGTGACACCCTGTCACACTGTGACCCCTCACACCCCATCACCCTGTAGCCCTGTCACCCTTACACCCTGTAATCCCTGACACCCTGTAACCCTGAGATCCTGTAACCCTTGACCCCCATGTAACCCCTGAGACCCTGTAACCCTGTAACTTCTGACACCCTGTCACCCTGTCACTCATTTATCCAAGTCCTTTCCTGTTTTCTTCTGGAGTGGATCCAATCATCAGCTACTTCTTCAGTCTGGTCATGGATCCATGCACAGCTTCAGTCGGTTTGTGTTTGCCTCACTCACCGATCCCAGAGGGTTGGCAGCTCATCCTGCAGACCCACATTCAGCTCATCAAAGACTTTCTGAGCCTTTTTAAGCTCTTCCTCTGCCTGTGGGTTTCATAAAACAGAGTAAGGAATCTTCATGCCCTCGCCCCCTTCTAACCACGTTACTTCTGACTCACCTTCATAATCTTCCTGTCATTCTTCATCCCAGGTGCCTGCAAAGATTCCAGCTGATGACGAGCGCTGTCATAGTCGATGAGTTTCCGACTTCTTTTGGCCACACGAACCTGAAAGCATAAAGTGTCACGTTTCTCCGATTTTTCCCTTTCTCTCTGGTAAACAGACTTTCCTCACCTTTAGGTCGGGGAACTGCTGCAGGTATCCATCGAGGTTCAGCAGAGTCGAGTCGACCAATTTGTTATGAAAGTCTTCCCACAATGCATCACAGTCCTGCAAGGCACACAGAGCTAAGATCTGCTGACACGTTTGTGTTGCAAAGTTGCCCCCTTCATTGGTAAAACATAAAGCTCCTGGTGCACTTCACAGCTACATGGACAGTCAGATAAATCCCAGTTGATTCTAAAAACTAAATCCAAACACAGTCCAGGCTCCAGGGTTCATGCAATGCAGTGAAGCTGGGAATTTCCAGAAGGAATTAAAGCAGGTCTTCACAGAGACATGGCTGAACCCAGCAGAACCTGCTCCTCCACTGAGCTACGACATCTCAAGGATCATCTACAGCCTAAATGGTGCTATACTGGTGCTATACTGGTGCTATATTGGTGCTTTACTGGTGCTATACTGGTGCTTTCCCGGGGCTTTACTAGTGCTATACTGGTGCTGTACTGGTGCTTTACTGGTGCTATACTGGTGCTATATTGGTGCTTTACTGGTGCTTTACTAGTGCTGTACTGGTGCTTTACTTGAGCTTTACTGGTGCTATACTGGTGCTTCACTGGTGCATTACTAGTGCTATACTGTTGCTGTACTGGTGCTTTACTGGTGCTATACTGGTGCTATACTGGTCCTTTCCCGGGGCTTTACTAGTGCTATACTGGTGCTGTACTGGTGCTTTACTGGTGCTATACTGGTGCTATACTGGTGCTTTACTGGTGCTTTACTAGTGCTGTACTGGTGCTTTACTTGAGCTTTACTGGTGCTATACTGGTGCTTCACTGGTGCATTACTAGTGCTATACTGTTGCTGTACTGGTGCTTTACTGGTGCTATACTGGTGCTATACTGGTGTTATACTGGTGTTATACTGGTGCTTTACTTGAGATTTACTGGTACTATACTGGTGCTTTACTTGTGCTATACTGGTGCTATACTGGTGTTATACTGGTGTTATACTGGTGCTTTACTAGTGCTGTACTGGTGCTTTACTTGAGCTTTACTGGTGCTATACTGGTGCTTTACTGGTGCTTTACTGGTGCTATACTGGTGCTATACTGGTGTTATACTGGTGTCATACTGGTGCTTTACTTGAGATTTACTGGTACTATACTGGTGCTATACAGGTGCTATACTAGTGCTTTACTTGTGCTATACTGGTGCTATACTAGTGCTATACTGTTGCTGTACTGGTGCTTTACTGGTGCTATACTGGTGCTATACTGGTGCTTTCCCGGGGCTTTACTAGTGCTATACTGGTGCTGTACTGGTGCTTTACTGGTGCTATACTGGTGCTATACTGGTGCTTTACTGGTGCTTTACTAGTGCTGTACTGGTGCTTTACTTGAGCTTTACTGGTGCTATACTGGTGCTTCACTGGTGCATTACTAGTGCTATACTGTTGCTGTACTGGTGCTGTACTGGTGCTATACTGGTGCTATACTGGTGCTATACTAGTGCTATACTGTTGCTGTACTGGTGCTTTACTGGTGCTATACTGGTGCTATACTGGTGCTTTCCCGGGGCTTTACTAGTGCTATACTGGTGCTGTACTGGTGCTTTACTGGTGCTATACTGGTGCTATACTGGTGCTTTACTGGTGCTTTACTAGTGCTGTACTGGTGCTTTACTTGAGCTTTACTGGTGCTATACTGGTGCTTCACTGGTGCATTACTAGTGCTATACTGTTGCTGTACTGGTGCTTTACTGGTGCTATACTGGTGCTATACTGGTGTTATACTGGTGTTATACTGGTGTTATACTGGTGCTTTACTTGAGATTTACTGGTACTATACTGGTGCTTTACTTGTGCTATACTGGTGCTATACTGGTGTTATACTGGTGTTATACTGGTGCTTTACTAGTGCTGTACTGGTGCTTTACTTGAGCTTTACTGGTGCTATACTGGTGCTTTACTGGTGCTTTACTGGTGCTATACTGGTGCTATACTGGTGTTATACTGGTGTCATACTGGTGCTTTACTTGAGATTTACTGGTACTATACTGGTGCTATACAGGTGCTATACTAGTGCTTTACTTGTGCTATACTGGTGCTATACTGGTGTTATACTGGTGTTATACTGGTGCTTTACTTGTGCTATACTTGTGCTTTACTGGTGCTATACTGGTGTTATACTGGTGCTATACTAGTGTTTTACTTGTGCTATACTGGTGCTATACTGGTGTTATACTAGTGCTATACTGGTGCTTTACTTGTGCTATACTTGTGCTTTACTGGTGCTATTTATTTACTATATTTAGGAAAACATAAAAGGCATTAGTTAAAAGCAAAACCACAATCAGCCCCAGCATCAGTTTAATTAATAGAAAATTTAATCTTAAAAAATGTAGATGTATTTTGGAAAAAAAAAAAAAAAACAACCAGGGGAAAAAAACTGTTATTTCATGACGTGGAATAAATAAATAAGTGACACCATAACACCCCTATGAGCAGCTTTAAGTATACAGACGCCCATAAACCGCTAAAAGGCTAGACAGAAGCGCTTCCAGTTGAAGGCTACGCTGCGTAGCAACTAAATCCCTCCAGAGAAGTCTGCGCTCGCTGGAGTGAGTCAGACTGTGTTTTTCCTGCGATTCAGAAGGAGCTGAACTCAGTTTTTCCTCTTCCTGCGATTCAAACCGAGTGAACGCAGTGTATCCTAAAGAGCTAATCCCGCTCTGCTAACCACCGAACAACGGGGGCCCAGAGACACGGAGGTGCTACTACGAGTTGTGGCTACGTGCTAACAACCGTAGCTAAAAGGGAGATGTCCCATGCTAACGTGAGTTATAACATTGAACCCTCTTGTAAATTGCCTCTTATTGCTGCATCGGATTGATCCAAATCTCTCAGAGTGACTGTTGGACGAATGGACTGGACCAAAGAAGGGCCTGCAGAAACCGGGCCCAGCTGAAGGCCTTCACTCCACCAAACCAAACAGTCACTGCAAGGGAAGCAAGGGAAACGGAGCAAACCGGGGCAGCTGGGAACCATTTGCCTGACTGACCTTCCCAATGGTCACGATGTCGTCCTTCCCGTGCCAGTCTGGTTCATAGACCTCATGGAGAGACTGTGTCAGGTTGATGGACGCCTGCTGCATGCCTATGGGAACAAACAAACTGTTTTAACCTCATGGGAGAGAAGCTGTGAAGCATCTTGGAATGATGCTCCATGTAAACGTGGAGTCAGATTAAGCCTGAACGGTTCAGTTTGTCACCTTTGATGGCAGACATGTAGGCCTTCATCTCCCTCTGCAGCCGAGCACCTTCAGACTGACAGAAAATACAGCAGATTACAAACCGCTGGACTTCTGTTCAATAACACTGATAAGACCCCAGATGCAGCAAACCTTTCTGAATTCAGACCAAATCAAAGAGATAATGAATGAAACAGATGAACAGCAGGAAGAAGCATCCCTCACCTCTTGTCTCTTGAAGTTAATAACCACTTGTTCAAACTGCTCATCTTTGGTCTCATCAGCTTTTCCAAGTTTCTGAAGAACCTGAGAAAGAGTTTTTCTAGGTGAATAAGTTGCTTTAACAGTTTACAGGAGAAGAACATCTACAAACATTTCCCTTCGCTTGTTGAATTCATTTTTGGTTTCCAGCTATAATGAGTCATCTGGGACTCCCAATCTGTTGTTTAATATAAAACAGTTTAAGGAAGTCCGACTTGCACAAAGCATCCTATCCTAGAACCACGCAGAATCACCAGACCATTTCTAGAGTGAACCAGGGATTAGCCATGGCCCTGAGAGCAAAGGGGATGTAGATGTAGACTGACCACCATCATCATCATCATCATCATCATCATCATCATCATCATCATCATCATCATCATCACCATCATCATCATCATCATCATCATCATCATCATCATCATCATCACCACCACCACCACAGAGGAACAGTTGCTTTGGGAAACATGAAGCAGCTGCTGTTGATATTTGTTGTTTCAGTTAAGGACGATATGGACCAATAAAAATAAAATAAATTCAACTTTATTGATCTCTCATTGAAGAAATTCCCTCTCTGCATTTAACCTCTCCCCTTGGGGAGCAATAGGCTGCCATGGTGCGGCGCCCGGGGAGCAGTGTGGCGTTAAGGGTCTTGCTCAGGGACCCAGAGTGGCGGTCTGTGGGAGTGGGGCTCGAACTCGGAAGCTCTATGCCCTGACCACTAGGCTGCCCCTCCCCTCTCTCTGATTGATCCATTTGTTTTATTCCTGCAGGTCTGGGTCCAGCGCCCCCTGGATCTTTGATTTTTACCGCAGTGGAAGAAATGTCAGAAAATAATCCCTTGACCTTTGTGTGTCCGTTACCATGGTAATTCACCCGGCGCCCTCCTGTATTTGCAGGCCCCTGTAAATTTAAATGTTATAAAAACAAACTTTTTCTGCTGGTCACCTTATTGTAGTTGGTGGAAAGTGTTTATTCTAGATGTCTTAAAACATAAAGACGCTGGACTGGGACAGTTGGACGGTTCATGTCCTAAAGTGTCCCTTATTTTCAGGTACGTCATTGCGACCTTTAGGTTTGGGAAAGCAAACCTTCTTATCTGCTTTTGAAAAACGTCCTCAGTGGCTCTTTGATGCTTTGGATAGATGTTTGATATCTAGATTCAGGTCTATTATACTAACTTATTCATGTCAGTTTAATGGAAACACATTGAAAGTAGAACTTCATAGATCCTCACATTTTAAACTTTGGGAAGACTGGTTAGATACTTGTAGTCCTACGGTTTTTAGGGATATCGGCTGAACTCTGGTCGACATGTAGAAATAGGAGCCATGATTGGTTCCCTTCCACTGTGCTAAGAATTAATTTATCATTCAGCTCTTTAAAAGCGTTAAATAGAAGCTAATTAAACTATTAAAAACATTTTTTAGCCTGGATAAAGGCCCAGAATGAACCCTTTAGAGCCTCGTATTTCCAGCCTGTATCAGCGTCTTTCTTCTTTAGGAACCCTTCAGTTTCCACATCAGTCTCATTTCAAACTACCTTTGATGTGGCATTGGTTAATTATACTAACTGAGGACGTCCATCAGCACTGTCTATGTTTTAATTATCTACATCATAAATATTCCTTCCTCATCTCAATGAAAGACCTTTTAGATTTGAGGCGATTAATCTGTGACTAAACTCATTTCAGCAGGTTTCCCTCTTCTCCTTAAATCAATAAGACTCCAGACTTTCAGGGTTTAGGTTAACTAAACCCAGCCAGCAATGACCTAACTTACCAATAAAACTAACCTGTCCCTCCAAGCCATGACTGAACTAACCCGCCTCTAAAATCACTAACGCTTAAAGGAAAAATCACCAATGAATGAATTTAGCGCTAATCAGTAAAAAATAAAAACAATTTTTTTCTAAGGAAAACCAGAAAAAAAAGGAGAAAAGGTGAAAGAAGGAGGAGAATAAAAGGGAGATAATGATAAAAACATCCAAGAGCAAAGGCACCAAGGAGGGGCCAACCAAGCCACCGCAATGCCAGAGCCCCCGGAAGCCACAGGGAAGAGTCCACGAGCTCTGCCGGCAGCCAGCCGACCCGAAGTGCATCCTGCCATGGGCCCCAGGGATCCAAGGACCCAGGAACGCCCCACCCCCCGGCAGGGGTTCCAACCGGGGCTTGAATGTTGGATTGTTGCGTGTTGCTCTCAGGTGTAATTAAAACTGGAAGTACCAAAAGGAGGTGTCCAACAAAACCCACCCCCCCCCTCCGGGAGATAGGCATTGCCAGCTCACCCCCCCATTCGACAACCTAGAACACTCAAAGTCTAAATGCAAGAGGGGGTGGGGGGAGCCGACCATGGTGAGGCCCATGAAATTACCCCCCCACCAGTCGCACTACCATAGCCCGGGGGCCAGGGACCGGCAGCAGGGCCCACAAGCCAGCCGGCCACAGGGCTGAGACCATTACCACCCAAACTAACCCCACCCCGAAACCCCACCCTATCCTGTCCATCCAAAAAAAAGGGAGACAACTTGACCAGCCAGCCCGCATGCACCATGCAGAGCCCCCACCCTGGACGGAGCTCCCACCAGGGGACGGCACGGACCAGGACCGATACAGGGAGCCAAACCCGAAGCCCTTCTAATATCCTCATCCCTCCACGACCAACCCCCACCCCCCGAGCAGAGATGTGATTCCCCCCCACATTAACTTTCAAACAACTCACCACACAAGAGACAAAAGACATCCAGGCCGACCCATTCCCACTCCCCCTCCCTCCCCTTTCCCCAACAGCAGAGTCTGCCATCTGCCATAAGGTATTAGTGCCCCTCTAACCCCTCACCCCCTGCCCAATAGGCCCCCCAGCACAACAAGGGGCCATGGCAGGGCCTGACAGGCGGGCGTACACCGGCCCAGACTCCAACCAGCACTCCATACAGAACCCAAACCCCCAACGGCCCTCCAGGGCACGTGCCTGACGGCAATGCGCCCCAGGGACCCCAGACTCCCGGACCCACCCAACAGCAGCACAGCTACCAGACCAGTAGCCCACGTCCGCCACCACAGAACCCCGCCGAGAGCACCGCAAGCGGCCACCATAGGACGCCCCAAGGCGTCACAAGCCCTGCCCCGATTGGGGTAACAGACCCCGGGGCCAGACCCACCAAGCACCCCACTCTGAGCACCTCTCAGTGCCCCCAAGGACCCCCAAACCAGCCCCCGCTCCCCGTAGGATGCACTTCACAGCCCCCCACTACACTAAGTGATGGAGCCGATCAAGGGAGCCCAGAGAGATCGGTCTGATGGGGATGCAGATGCTGTCTCAAGATTAATATGATCCAACAACAGATCTCTGTACTGATTGATGTTGAGTTTATCCTTACTTTTCCAATTCATGAGGATAGTTTTCTTTGCAATACATAATGCAGTGAATGCCAAGCAAACCAATTCTTTCCCATAGAGCCTCCCTCAAAGTCACCCAGCAAGCAAACTGAAGGGGAAATTGGGATTTTACAACCCAGGCACAGTGATAGATCCGTACATACCTGAACCCAGAACCTCTGCACCGGCGTGCATAACCATAACGGATGAAAATAATTATCACGTTAATTGCCTGTGCACTGTGGACAGATGTTAGATTGCGGAAAACCCATCTTGAATAATCTTTGACCTGTATAGTGCACTCTGTGGAGGATTTTGGATTGTATTAATTGTAAATTGGGGTTTCTAGTCATGTTAAAAGTTCTTAGACATATCTGAGCCCAGATGTTTTGTTCACATCTGGCTGATAAATCCTCCTCCCATTTAGTAATAGGAAGAGATATTGGATCATCCAGCTTAGTCAGTGTCCTTTTTGGGTCGGGTTAACTCTAGAAACTCTGATATTTTAGTTGGAATTATTAAACCTCCATCAATATGCTTAAATTTATTTCTAATTATAGCTTTGATTTGCTCATATTCTAAGAATTTATTTTTGTTAATGCCATATTGCAAATTTAATCTAGCGAATGTGATAAACTCCGTACCTTCAAACAAATGATCCAGATAGTTAATACCTTTATTCTTCCAGTACGGAAAGTTTATCACATTATTGTTTTGTAGAATGTCAGGGTTATTCCAGATGGGTGTACGGCTGCACGGGATAAGTGATGACTTCGTTATTTTTAGAAATTCCCACCATGCTGTCAGGGAAGAGCTGATGTTAATATTTTTAAAACATGGGTGCCGTTTGATCTTAGAGCTAATAAACGGTAAATCTGAAATTATGATATTACTGCATATTTCCTGTTCTGTGTCTATCCAGGGCTCATCTAAGGGATTATGTTTTATCCATTTAGAGAAAAAAATTATAATTTTCGCCACGATCACTGAGTCTGGGAGCGGCCATTTTTGCCCATATATAGTAGCCCCTCCCTCCTGCCATCTTCCAGCAGTGACGTCACGGTGCGGTAAGCCTAGCGCCATTCTCCCCGCTTTCCAAGCTAAATCAATGGGAACTACTAGACACATCTGCAATCAACAACAATTATTGAAGATTTCCAGAGGACTTCACCATTGAAATTCACCAGAGCTATAGTGAAACTGACAATGCCCACGTGCATGGCAGCTGGATGCTGGAATACATCGGGTAAAAGTGAAAAAAAGAGTTATTCCACCTTTCTGATTCCTGATCCTCCACGGACGGGTTGGTCGTTGGATCGCCAACTTGAAGAGGGAGGATTTGCCATCGAACTTCTGGCCAGAGAAAAAACCCGTAATATGTAGCCAACATTTGGAAGAAGAATGTTTTCAAGATGACTTGGATAATAGCGCGTTGTGACAAACACCAGATACAGCACTGGGACTTGATCAACAGCCGATACCGCACCGTGACAATGTCACTAACCAGTAGGTGGCAGTAGTGTTCTTTGTGGATTTAACCCTCCTGGGTCAGTCAGGAGTGAAATAAACATTCTCATCTGTGTGGCTCCACGCCATGACGCATCATCAGGGGTCCTGGGCGTGGACAGGACTCTGAGACAGGAAGTCAGTCTGCTGACCTTTAACCCCACCCAGCAGCACAGAGCAGGTGGACCGGATCCAGTCTCTGCTCCACTTCCAGAACCCCTTCAGCAGGCGGTGGGGAGCCTCCTTCATTCACCTCCACTCCCCATCAGAACCTCTGCAGGAGGAGAACTCCCCCTGGTCTAATACATGACCTTTGAACTCTGGCTCCTGAACCCCTCCCCATCAGAACCCCTGCAGGAGGAGAACTCCCCCTGGTCTAAGACATGACCTTTGAACTCTGGCTCCTGAACCCCTCCCCATCAGGACCATTGCAGGAGGAGAACTCCCCCTGGTCTAAGACATGACCTTTGAACTCTGGCTCCTGAACCCCTCCCCATCAGGACCTCTGCAGGAGGAGAACTCCCCCTGGTCTAAGACATGACCTTTGAACTCTGGCTCCTGAACCCCTCCCCATCAGGACCCCTGCAGGAGGAGAACTCCCCTGGTCTAAGACATGACCTTTGAACTCTGGCTCCTGAACCCCTCCCCATCAGAACCCCTGCAGGAGGAGAACTCCCCCTGCTCTAAGACATGACCTTTGAACTCTGGCTCCTGAACCACTCCCCATCAGAACCTCTGCAGGAGGAGAACCCCCCCTGGTCTAAGACATGACCTTTGAACTCTGGCTCCTGAACCCCTCCCCATCAGGACCCCTGCAGGAGGAGAACTCCCCTGGTCTAAGACATGACCTTTGAACTCTGGCTCCTGAACCACTCCCCATCAGAACCTCTGCAGGAGGAGAACCCCCCCTGGTCTAAGACATGACCTTTGAACTCTGGCTCCTGAACCCCTCCCCATCAGAACCTCTGCAGGAGGAGAACTCCCCCTGCTCTAAGACATGACCTTTGAACTCTGGCTCCTGAACCACTCCCCATCAGAACCTCTGCAGGAGGAGAACTCCCCCCTGCTCTAAGACATGACCTTTGAACTCTGGCTCCTGAACCCCTCCCCATCAGAACCTCTGCAGGAGGAGAACTCCCCCTGGTCTAAGACATGACCTTTGAACTCTGGCTCCTGAACCCCTCCCCATCAGAACCCCTGCAGGAGGAGAACTCCCCCTGGTCTAAGACATGACCTTTGAACTCTGGCTCCTGAACCACTCCCCATCAGAACCTCTGCAGGAGGAGAACTCCCCCTGGTCTAAGACATGACCTTTGAACTCTGGCTCCTGAACCCCTCCCCATCAGAACCTCTGCAGGAGGAGAACTCCCCCTGGTCTAAGACATGACCTTTGAACTCTGGCTCCTGAACCCCTCCCCATCAGAACCTCTGCAGGAGGAGAACTCCCCCTGGTCTAAGACATGACCTTTGAACTCTGGCTCCTGAACCCCTCCCCATCAGACCTCTGCAGGAGGAGAACCCCCCCTGGTCTAAGACATGACCTTTGAACTCTGGCTCCTGAACCCCTCCCCATCAGAACCTCTGCAGGAGGAGAACCCCCCCTGGTCTAAGACATGACCTTTGAACTCTGGCTCCTGAACCCCTCCCCATCAGGACCTCTGCAGGAGGAGAACTCCCCCTGGTCTAAGACATGACCTTTGAACTCTGGCTCCTGAACCCCTCCCCATCAGAACCTCTGCAGGAGGAGAACTCCCCCTGGTCTAAGACATGACCTTTGAACTCTGGCTCCTGAACCCCTCCCCATCAGAACCTCTGCAGGAGGAGAACTCCCCCTGGTCTAAGACATGACCTTTGAACTCTGGCTCCTGAACCCCTCCCCATCAGAACCTCTGCAGGAGGAGAACCCCCCCTGGTTTAAGAGATGACCTTTGAACTCTGGCTCCTGAACCACTCCCCATCAGAACCTCTGCAGGAGGAGAACCCCCCCTGGTCTAAGACATGACCTTTGAACTCTGGCTCCTGAAGGGGAACCGGATCAGCCAATCAGAACGCAGCAGGCTGAGCGTCAGCCTCTAACAGAAAAACAGAGATCCGTCTGCAGTGACGTCACCATCCCAATCTAATTAGTCACTCAGAAACGTCACTCAGCATTAATCCTCCAATCTAACGCCTCTGGGTGGCTTTTCCCTCCACTTCCTGTTTTTATTATTTATCACTTTATTTCATTAACCGCGCTGACGTCATGCTGTCTGATAAAATACCAGAATCCAATGTTTGGTTTATTCTGACAGCAGCAGCCGCGGAGGATGCAGGCCTCCCTCCCTCCCTCCATCCTCCTCCTCCTCCATGGATCCTGGATCCCGCTCCACATCCGTCCGAACCCGAACCTGCAGCCGAACCTGCAGCCGAGCCGGCGGGTCCTACCTTCTCCTGTGCGCGGTTCAGCCGTTTCTGCACGTTCTTCGCAAAGATCCCAGTTTTAATTTCCGCCATGATGCCTGCAGAGGACGGAGGATTACCGGGAGGGGAGGGGGCGCGTGCAGGGGGCGTGTCTGAGGGACATCCAGCAGCTGATTGGTTCTTCCTCCTAAAGCTGCAGCAGTTCTGTCCTGATGATGTGAAGCTTTTCTCTCATTCATTCATGGGTCACACCGGCAGGGGGCGCTAGAGCACCACTGAGGAACAGGGTTACCATGGGATTCCTCCCAGTCTGACCAGTTTAACCAGTCAAAAACGGAAACTACCTCTGTTTTGCCATTGAAAATCAAAAGCAACAATAAAATAAAAAAGAATCAGGGAAATCGAAAAACGAGACGTTTTTTTTTTTCCACTTAGTTTTTCTGTTTTTTCATTTCTAAATTTACAAAAACGGAAAAACGGCTTTGATTTCCGTTTTTCCGTTTTTGTCAATTTAGAAACGAAATGTCTAGGTAATGTCTAGGTAGGATGGAGGTTGAGATGAAAACATGTTGCTTTTAAATGTAACAACAAAGATTGTAAAATGTGAAAACCTGAGGGTTATGCGTAATGACGTAGCTACCCACTGCATGCTGCGGCACTGAGTGACGTCCCGTTCAGATTATGAAAATAATTAATCTGACCAGCTGCCACATCACCTCTTCTCCATAGAGAAGGTTCACATGTGCAACTTACAGATGAACTTTTAATCAGCTGAATGATTCAAATAAATCATCTTAAAGAACTTGAAGAAGTTCCTTGCTTTGTTGATTCTTCACTGTGGTTTGGAGAGGAGTGACGTCATCTTTAATCTTTTCTGGAATATCAGCTCAGGGTTCCAGCAGAGGATCCTCAGCACAGAACCAGCTTTCTGGATCGGTTTGTTCAGCAAATAAGCAAGGATTGCACTTTCTATAACAGAATTAGAAGCAACAGGCAGAGCAGCTCATCTATTGGTTAGATCGGATCTGAGTTTTCTTATGAATAAGAATCTTCACCTGCAGGCTAATCAATAATGGCAATTTTTAAATATATAATAACTTTATTTGAACAGTAACAATGACAAACTCAACCAGTACAGTATAAATAATCACAACATATAGTCAATTATTCCTCCTAACACTTTTCCTAATATTTTTGTTCTTGTCTTTCAGTTGCCGTGTAAACAGATGTTTACACAACATGTTTATGCAATACACTTCAGAAAGAGAGAAAATTCAAAGATATCTAATTTCATATGTTGAATATAACAGAATTATAATGAAAGATAAATGAATAAAATAATATAAATAAACAAATAAATAAATAAAAAGCCAAGTAAGCATTATTGTTTAATTTGTATGGAGGGATTGCTGAAATAAATTATAGAGGTGATATGACACATTTTTGCTTTAGGTTTTTGAATTTTGTCTAAGTAAAGATTTAGAAGATGGATCTCCTGTTTAATATCAGACCATAACCGAAAAACGGAAGTAGTTTCCGTCTGTCGTCTTGGTTTTCCAGAAAAAAAAAAAAAAATTGCCTGAAGGTACACAGAGCTTCCTCCCAGTCTGACCAGTTTAACCAGTCCACATCAGTCAGGACCAGCGGTCCATGTACATTCAGGCAATTCACTTTTTTTTCCGGAAAACCAAAACAAAAAACTACTTCCGTTTTTCAATTTCAAATTAAAACCAGACAAACGGAAATCAAAGACGTTTTTTTCAACACAAAAACCAGAAAAACTAAATGAACAAAAACGGCCCGTTTTTTTAATCCGTGTATCATTCGTTCTTTCTATTTTCAATTGCCAATCAAAAAACAAAAAAATAAAAAATTGACTGGTTATTTTGTTTTTTGTTTTTTATGGTTAAACCAAAAACGAAAAAAGGATTTGTTTTTCATATATCAATTCTAAGCTCAGATCAATAATACGAAATGGAAAAACGGACAGCGACGCATAATTTGATTTTAATATTTAATCGGTACAGTTTACGTGACCCGGAAGTTTGGTGGAGCGTTAGCTAAAAAAACAATTGGCTTACCCCCACCACGTTCGATCAAGCTGCACCAGATAAGGCAGTCGGACCTATCAGCCATGGACAGTTACGTGTTATTTCGAGGATCCAAGCGTGTGACTCTTAAGGAGGAGGATATGACAACGGAGAAAATCAGCAGGATTTTCCAGGTATAACTTTTGTCTTGAAACTTTTCTATGCACTGTACTTTTAACTAGCAACAACAAACAGCTTCTCGATCAACATAGTGTATGGTTCTAGCGTCGCCATGGTAACCACTTCATTACCCCAACTGCTGCGCAAAGAGCTATTTCCGGGTCACGTAAACTGTACCGATTAAATATTAAAATCAAATTATGCGTCGCTGTCCGTTTTTCCATTTCGTATTATTGATCTGAGCTTAGAGTTGATATATGAAAAACAAATCCTTTTTTCGTTTTTGGTTTAACCATAAAAAACAAAAAACAAAATAACCAGTCAATTTTTTATTTTTTGTTTTTTGATTGGCAATTGAAAATAGAAAGAACGAATGATACACGGATTTTTTTTAATTGTTACGGTTCGTTCTTTGTTTTTTCATTTCAAAACAAAAACAAAAAAACAAAACAAGCATGTGGTTTTTCTGTTTTTCCGTTTTTAAAACCTAAATCGAAAAAATGAAAAATGGAGTTAATAGAAAATGAACAGCGTTTGAGTTTTGTTTTGCCATCTAAATGAAAATAAGATACGGTTTTAATATGTAGCGGTACCGGAAATGAAGTAAGTCGCCAAAGAAAAATCATTTACAGTGGAGGAAGACGGCATCAAAACAAACCATTTCTAAACAAAAGACAATGGCTGCACTTCAAACATGTTCTGCATTGATTATCGGACGTTTTGAAAGAGGAAAAACAGACTCTGAAGTGGAACATTAAAGACGTCTTGTTGATGGTCAGATTATTAGTTTTCAATAAAATGCACCGATTCTCTCTAAATAACACAAACATTTCCATTTTGGTAGTGCTAACTGAAAAAGTTCTCCTTCTTGTGGATTTTAATGGCGGTTGGAAAGAAATTGAAGGTGTACATTACTGCCACCTACTGGTAACTAGAAAAGTGATGTGTTGGGAGTTCAGGTCTTCATTTCCAGTTCTGCCATAAGGTCCGTTTTATTAACAACAAAATAAAAGTTTGTCTCTGGTTTAACCATTGCAATTAAAAAAATCCCAGAACGTACCTTTTTTTTCATTTTTGCAACTGACGTTTTTCTAATTTCGTTTTTAAAACGGAAAAACAGAAAAAGCACATGCTTGTTTTGTTTTGAAACGAAAAACCAAAGAACGAACCATATGGATTGTTTTTCGATTTCCCCGATTCTTTTTCCATTTTGTTTTTAGGGTTGAAAGACGAAGATCGTTCCACGGATGGCCTGGAAGGGCAGGAAAATATTTAAAAATAAAAGCCAATAATGCAAGACTGAAGAAAAAAATTATGAAGCGGAGAGATGTTTTTTGAATAAATCTTTTTACGTTACAAAATGATAGTTCATTGTAGAGTCGTAAGCTTTATTACATTATTGTGTTTTATTGTTGGGGGGGGGTGATGTCTGGGCAGGATGGAGGTTGAGATGAAAACATGTTGCTGTTTAATGTGACAACAAAGACGAGGAAACTCTGCTTTAGCTGATTGTGCAGATGGAGTCCTTGACGTACTGTCGCTATGGCGGTAGGGGGCAGTATGCACTTAATTGTTAGCGAGAGGCCATATATGCTCTGTTCGAAATCCTGGGAGGCGTCCTTAGAAGGCCAGATTTGAAGGACGATGACGTCATAGCGCGGCGCCGAGGTCTGGTCGGATTCCAAGAGTCCTCGTTATGCGGCCTTAAAATGCGTCCTTCTTTTTGCCCGATTTGAAGGACGGGTCCGATGTATCCTCTGTATTCTTGGATATCCCAGGATTCATTGCGAGACCAAGCAAGCCGTGATCAGAGGAAAGGTTACTTGGCGCCGACCAGTGGTGAAAATTGGAAGTTCATTTTAATATAATCCAGTCAGTGAATAGTTCCGTCTGAAATGAATGAAAATAGTTGTTTTAATGGTTATAGAGTCAGATATGTGGCGGTAATGTTTGGTTTATCTAAAGGTTTTAATCTGTTACTGTGTAAATGGGTTTGGCTGGAATTTAAGGACAGATTCTAATAGATCTGCAGAGTGGGAACTATAAACCTGATAGGAGTTTTATCTTTTTATTGCTGTTTTGCACAATATGCTTAACTACGTATTTTTTGCTGTTGAATATTAGAGATTTTGCAGATATATTTTTATACATACATTGTTTAGATTTACTTATATATTTCTACCCCTTTTATAGAATAGAATAGAAAATCCCTTTATTGTCCCACAATGGGCAGATTTACAGCAGCAGAAAGATTATTGAAAATGGTCACACAAATGAGGACCTTAGAAAAATGTCTAAGAATAACATAATAGGGAAGAGTTAAAATATAAACAATAAAATCCTGTAAAGTGTTTTAACAATATAAAACTGGAGAATAAATAACCAATATGCAGCTATGGACATTTTTACAGTAATTAGAAAATAGCAGCAACATCAGAGATGTGCAGAATGGAGATGTGCAGTCTAGGTAGACCGCGTCCTTGGAGGATGCAGTCTAGGTAGACTACGTCCTTGGAGGATGCAGTCTAGGTAGACCGGGTCCTTGGAGCATCCAGTCTAGGTAGACCGCCTCCTTGAAGGATGCAGTCTAGGTAGGCCGCGTCCTTGGAGGATCCAGTCTAGGTAGACCGCCTCCTTGGAGGATCCAGTCTAGGTAGACCGCGTCCTTGGAGGATCCAGTCTAGGTAGACCGCGTCCTTGGAGGATCCAGTCTAGGTAGACCGCGTCCTTGGAGGATCCAGTCTAGGTAGACCGCGTCCTTGGAGGATCCAGTCTAGGTAGACCGCGTCCTTGGAGGATCCAGTCTAGGTAGACCGCGTCCTTGGAGGATGCAGTCTAGGTAGACCGCGTCCTTGGAGGATGCAGTCTAGGTAGACCGCATCCTTGGAGGATCCAGTTTAGGTAGACCGCGTCCTTGGAGGATCCAGTCTAGGTAGACCGCGTCCTTGGAGGATCCAGTCTAGGTAGACC